TATAGTTATCGTCATCACTATTTTATTTTTGTTATAATTTTTTTCAATTTCTTTCTTTTTATTCTTTTTCCATCTTTTTTCTTCTCATTACTTTCGTCATTCTTATCCTCTTACATTTCCTCCTTTTCCTTCCCATCCACCGCCACCATCTCCTCTACGTCTTCTTCTTCTTTTTTACTTCCTCTTCTTCCTCCTCTTCCTCTTTTTCTTCTTCCTCCTTCTCCTCTTTTTCCTCCTCCTCTTCCTCCTCCCTCTTTTTCTTCTACTCTTCTTCTTCCTCCTCCTCTTCCTCTTCTTCTTCTTCTCCTCCTCCTCCTCCTCTTCCCCCTTCTTCTTATCCTTCTCTTGAGTCATCATCACCCACCACAGTCATCACCATAGCTATCACCATCCTCTTCCATCGCCTCCTCTCTCATCACCACAGTCATCACCATCCACCCCATCCTTTCCTATCTCTGCTCTTCGTCCTCACCATCCTCATCACTTTAGTCCTCACCACCATAGTCATCACCATCCTTTCCCATCTCCTCCTCGTCATCACTTTATTCCTCACCACCATAGTCATCACCATCCCCTGCTCCTCCCGGTCATCACCATAGTCCTCATCACCATCAACCGGACTCACGAAGCGTCGCGCGAGAGGAGGAGAAAGGCAGGTGATAATCCGAGGGAAAGGTCAAAGTTGATAAAAAAGCGAGAGAAAAGGAAAGTGAGGATGACCCGGCAAAGGTCACGACATTTCGACAGGAAGAGGAAGAAGAGGAGGAAGTGATAAGGGGAGAAAGAGAATAAAGAAAGAAAAGGAAAGGAAAAAGGACGAGAAAGAGTGGATGTAAAGGAGGGAGTGGGAGGATGACGGAGAGAGAGAGGGGGGTAGAGAGGAGGGGGAGGGGGAAGGGGACGGAGACGGAGAGAGGGAAGAGGAGAGAAGGAGAGAAAATAGAGAGAGGGAGAGGTAGAAGGGAGAGGATAAGGGAGAAGAGGAAAGGCGAAGAGAAAGAAGAGACAAAAGAAAGAGGAAGGAAGAGGAAGAAAAAAAGATAAACGCGGAAGAAAGAAAAGTAAAAAACAAAAGAAAAGAAGTACGAGGGAGAGAGAAAGAGAAAAAGAGAAAAGAAGAGGAAGAGAGGGCGAGCGGGATGGGGAACAAACAGGAGAGAAAAAGGAGAATGTAAAAAGGGACAGGAGAGAAGGGAGAGGAAAAGAGAGGAGGGGATAGAGGGGAGAGGATGGAATAAGTCTCAAGGTCTTTTCAGAGACGAACGCCCTCGCGAAACTGATTGTCTAAACATCTCACGTTATGCCAATCCGAAAACAAGCAAACAATCACAATAAAAACAAACAAACAAACAATCCCAGTCCACAAACAACCCCAATCAAACAACAAACAATCCCAATCAACAAACAAGCAAACAATCTTAATCCGCAAACAAACAAACAATCCCAGTCCACAAACAATCTCTGTCCGCAAACAAACAAACAATCCCAATCAACAAACAAACAAACAATCCCAATCAACAAACAAACAAACAATCCCAATCAACAAACAAACAAACAATCCCAATCAGCAAACAAGCAAACGATCGAACGACGTAACGCACACACGTACACACGCGGCTCCATACGCACATAGAAAAGCTCAACAAACAATCCCGATCAGCAATCAAGCAAACGATCGAAGCTCAATCGTAAACTATCGTAGGTGGATTCTCTCTTTCTTTTTCTCTCTTCCTCTTTCTCTGTCTGTCTGTTTGTGTGTCTGTCTACCTCTGTCTGACTCTGCCTGAATGTCTGTTTGTGTGTCTGTCCGTTTCTGCTTGTCTGTCTATTTTTCTGTCTATCTCTCCTTGCCTCTGTGTCTACTTTTCTGTCTATCTCTCTCTGTCTGTCTATTTATCTGTCTATCTCTCCCTGTCTGTCTATCTATCTGTCTATCTCTCCCTGTCTGTCTATTTATCTGTCTATCTGTATGTCTATTTATCTGTCTATCTCTCCCTGTATGTCTATTTATCTGTCTATTTCTCCCTATCTGTCTGTCTGTATGTCTACTTGTCAGTCTGTCTGTATGTTTGTCTCTCTCTTTCTCTCGCTCAAGAAATGGTCATTCTCTGTGCAAAAAGTTTGAATTTCCATTTTATTTGTGCAACCACTTCACATGCTGCATCTTATTCATAGCACTATATTGGCGTCTCTAAGATTGGGTACATTCCTGTGTGACTGTGAGTGGTGTGTGTGTGTGTGTGTGTGTGTGTGTGTGTGTGTGTGTGTGTGTGTGTGTGTGTGTGTGTGTGTGTGTGTGTGTGTGTGTGTGTGTGTGTGTGATGTGTGTGTGTGTGTGTGTGTGTGTGTGTGTGTGTGTGTGTGTGTGCGTGTGTGTGTGTGTTGTGTGTGTGTGTGGTGTATGTAAGTGTGTATTTGTGTGTATGTGTACGCGAATGTACATACAAACACATACGAAGAGCAGAGACTCCTCCCCTACCCCCCCCCCACTCACCCACCACACCCCAAAAAATAAATAAAATTCTAAAAAAAATATATATATAAGGAGAGGAAGTCCAAGGAACGAAAAAAAAAAGGAATTGCAAACTTGACAATTAACAAACACTCAACAGTGATTGAAGGGGAAGGGAAGGGGAGGGGAGGGGGAGGGGGAGGGGGGGGAGGGGAGGCGGTCAAAATAGCGCTTTGCAAGTCACTGGTAAAAACAAAACATTTTTTTTAGGCATTATATAGGCCTAAAGATGGGCGAATTGGAAGTGAAAATCAACACAAGATAAAGGGAAACGAAACAGGGAGAGAGAGAAATATGATGAAAGAAGAGAGAGAGAGAGAGAGAGAGAGAGAGAGAGAGAGAGAGAGAGAGAGAGAGAGAGAGAGAGAGAGAGAGAGAGAGAGAGAGAGAGAGAGACAGAGAAGACAGACAGACAGAGAACGATACAGAAAAGAAATAAACAAAGACAAAAAAAAAAAAAAAATCACCACAACTCAAGATAATAATAATATAATGATATAAATAATAAAAAATCTCGAACCGAAAACAAAGCGCAGCGCACCAAACTATTAAGACACCCCCACCCACCAACCCCCCTTACCCACCCCAACCCATCCACAACCCCTCCCACCCAAACCAAACCGAGAGTGATTTTCCAACCGAACCCCCAACCCCCCTACCCCCACCCAACAACCCAACCCCAAACCCCAACCCACCAACCCACCAACCCTCCCACCCCCCCCTACCCACCTCCCCCTACCACCAACCAAACCCCTACCCGCACCCCCCCTCACCCCCCCATCCCCCCATCTGACGGGACCGGCGGCGAGAAGCGGACCTCCAGCCTTGGGACGTCGCTCAGCGGACCGCGGGGACCAAGGCGCTGTTTCCTCGCCTGTGTCTCCGCCTTCGTCTTCGTCTTCGGATGATATTATCGTCTTCGTCGTCTCTGTCGTCTTTACTTTGACTTCCTCGTCGACTCAATTATCGTCTTTATCGTCTTTCCTTTGCCTTCTTCGTCGTCTCAATTATCGTCTTTGTCGTCTTTCCTTTGCCTTCTTCGTCGTCTCAGTTACCTTCTTTATCGTCTTCCCTTTGCCTTCTTCGTCTCAATCTCTCGATCAGCCAGGAGGAAATACGGGGAGGTTATGGATTCCTTGTTCTGTGTCTATATCTATATGCTTTATCTATTTCCTCTTCTTCCTTCCTCCTCTCTCTTTTCTCACATTGCCTAGTTATCATTGAAAAGAAGGAAACGAAAATGATAGAAAGGAGAAAAGAAGAAGGAAAAGACGAAGAGGATGGAAAAGGAGGAGAAGAAGAAGAAGTAGAAGAAGAAGAAGTTGAAGAAGATGAAGAAGAAGGAGAAGAAGAAGAAGAAGAAGAAGAAGAAGAAGAAGAAGAAGAAGAAGAAGATGCAAAAAGGAGAAAAAAAGAAAAGTTTGAAAAATAAAAAACCGAGAGTGACATCCTCCCCCCTCCCTCCCCCCCCCCCAGACCGGAAGACTGTTGTTTTCTTTGCGAACTTTTGAACTTTTACTTTTGTTTGTTCGCGTCGTTTCTCTTCCCCGTTATCTGTTTATGTTATTTCTCTGTTTTTTTGGGGGGTTTTGTTCCATTTCCACCATTCGTAGTTAATGTGTTCCCCTGTTATTTTCTTACTTATTATTTTTCAATGCTTTGTAAATAATTTTCTCGTTTGTAATTAATGATAATGGTATTTATTATTGTGTGTACCTTAATGATCAATTTTATGCGTATTACTAATTAAGTATCAAGTGTCTCTCTTCCAGTCTTTATCCACCTGCTCTTTGTCTCCCTTTTTCTCTCCCTTTCCCTTCCACTGAACAGCTGATAAGGTCATGGGTGTTTTCGGATCCTGTCCTTCACTTGTTTTTATCTTTTCCTTTTTCTTCTTTTCTTTTCCGCTTCTTCTTCGTCTCATTGTTCCCTCTTTCTTACCGGGATGTTTGTTTCTTCTGGGTTTTATTGTCTTCGTGTTCTTCTCTTTTCGTTTCTTTTTTTCTTCTGTTTGTTCTTATTTTTCTCTTTTTTATTTCTTTATTTTCTTTATCTAATTTATTAATTTCTATATGTCTGTCTGTCTCTGTTTCTGACTCACTGTCTGTCTATTTCTGTCTGTGTCTTTTTCTGCCTGTATGTTCTCACTCTCTCTCTCTCTTTGATATTATTAAAGATTATGTATCTCTTCATCTTCCTGTATAACTCATCCTGTATAATTAAACTGAAATTAATCCTGTATGTAGATGAAATAAATCCAAAATCCACAATTCATGTTTATAAGAAATTAATACAAAATTCCTGTCTATAAGATGATATCAATCAACAATTCTTGTTTATAAGATTAAATTCATCCACAATTCTTGTTTATAAGATTAAATTAATCCACACTTCCTGTCTATAAGATTATATCAATCCACAATTCCTGTTTATAGGATGAAATTCATCCACAGTGATCCACTAACTTTTTTCTTCGTCATCGTTTCAGATCCACGAGTCAATGGCTCCAGAGGATCTCCAAAGAATATTCCACGTGGAATCATCAGATCAAGGTAAGTTATTTTCCTTCATTTAAATTCGTCTTGTAAGTCAGTTATGATTTCTTTCTTTATTTTTCAAGGTTCATCATATGTGTTTACATTTTTAGCTTCCTTCATTTCCTTTTTTGTTTTAGATTCGTATTGTGTCAGTTATGTGTTTTTCTTTAATTTTTGAAGGTTTATCAAGTGTTTTTTTTTATTTCTTGAGATTTGATGGGTAAAGGAAACTGTTTTTTTTCTTTTCTTCTGTCATTTGTCATCTTTTCTTTCATTTAAATTCATCTCGTAGGTAAGTAATAGTTTGTTTATTCATTTCTCAAGGTTCGCCATATATATTTTTTTTATTTCTTAAGATTTGATATGTAAAGGAAACTGTTTTTTCATTTCTTCTGCCATCTGTCATCCTCATATTGAAAGAGAAAAAAGAGGCATTGTCCCCCTCTCCGCCCGGCTTCACCCACCGTGTCTAACTAACTGTCCCGGAGGTCAGACTGTGTCCTTGGTGGTAATTCACCTCCGCGTAGATGGCGTGATTGTTAGTGTTTATTTTTCCCTGTTTTATTAAGCTTTCTATGCAATTAGTGCCATCAGGGACCGAGCACAAACCCGTTGCATCTTGGAGCTTGTCTGTGTGGGGAAAGGGCCTCACGTTTTCTTTCGGTTGTTGGGGATTCCCGTTCTCTTCCGCGAGGGGAAACTTAGCTAAATTATATGTAACGTTTAGGGGGGACGCAAGTAAATTCAGGCATCGATCAAAATGTGGGGATGCACATGCACTTGAACACACACACACACACACACACACACACACACACACACACACACACACACACACACACACACACACACACACACACACACACACACACACACACACACACACACACACACACACACAAACACAACATTCCAATTTCAACTTCCGTTTATTCGATGTCAAAAGAGAAACATATCCTCCATCTTTAACCTTCCCCTCCCTTCTCTCTCCTCCCGCCTTTATCACCCTCCCTTTTCAAATGTTCTTTATGGCCACGAGAAGAACTTTCCGACAATGATTGAATGTTGATGAATCTGTGGGTGTAGGTGTGGCGCGGCTTGGGGTGGGTGGGTTCTGTAGTTAATATTCTTGTGGTTAGTTTTACGCTTGTATTACGAGAGTTTTTTTTTCTTTATTCTTCGTCTTGTTGGAAGATTTTCAACGTTTTTTCATGCTTGGGTTTGTATATTTTATTATTCTAAGTTATGATAGGGTGTGGATTAAGATTCCATCAGAGACGTGGACTGTCAGAAACACACACACACACACACACACACACACACACACACACACACACACACACACACACACACACTACACACACACACACACACACACACACATCGAGATACACACTCACATCACACAGCACCAGTGTCTGTCTTTATTGTTATAGCACATTTGATAGCCAACAACTATCAATTGTTCGATTTATTTAAACCAATCATTCTCTCGGCATGTCTGTTCTTTCCTGTCTCTCCCTTGTTTCACTAATTCTTTTTCCTTTTCTCTCTCCCTTCCTTAATTCCATTCTCTTTCCCCCACTCTCTTCCTCTAAATATCGCCCTTTTCTCCCTCCCTTTTATATTATCGTTCCACCCTCGCCCTTCTCCTTCCTTTTCTTTCATTACTTTCCTTTCTCGATCTCTTTCCCATCTACGTTTTCTCTCTTTATTTTCCTAACCTCCCCTTTCCCTCTCCATCTCCGTTTTCTCCAACATCTACCTCTCCTTCTCCCTTCATCTTCTTACCTCATTCACCTTCAGCAATTTCCTACCTCCTTATCCTCTATCTCTCCTTTTTTGTCTTCACCTTTCCCTCTCCCTCTCCCTTTCCTTCTCCAACCCACCTCCTCCACTCTCTCCTCTACCTCTCTCTCTCCTTCTCCCCTCCCCCCCAACTGTCCTCTCCACTGTCCCTCTCCTGCTCCCCCCCTCCCCCTCCAACTCCACTATCTTTTCCCTCTCCTTCTCACCCCTTCCCCTCCACTCCTTCTCCCCCCTCTCCACACCAACTCCACTATCCTCTTCACCTCTCCCCACCCCTCCCTCTCTCCCTATCACTATTCTCTCCTTCCCTCTCCCTCTCCAACTCCACTATCCTCTCCCTCTCCCTCCCTCCATCCCTCCCTCTCCCCCCCCTCCCCGAGCAGACCCCCATGAATGGGCTTCGCGTGGCCGAGAGGGGTAAGTCGCCCTCCTCTCTCTCCCCTTGCTGATCAGAATTCCCCCTGGGCGCCTAATGATAAGTTTGGTCCGGGCGAGTGGCGTTACCCTCTCCCTTGCGCCTCTCCCTTCTTCGCTTCTCCCTTTCTCGTATCGTCTTCCTTCCTCCCGTTTTTTTTTGTCTTGTCTCGTCTCGTCTCGATGCTTGTGTTTTTCTGTTGTTCGTTCGGTAATTGTTCCTTCGTGTGTGTGCGTTTTTTTCTGCTTATCCTGTTCTGTCTCCTATATTTTTGGTTTTCCTTTCTTTTCCTTTTTCCTCCTTCTCTCTCACCTCTCTCTTCTCTCTCTGTCTCTCTCTCTCTCCCTCTCCCTCCTCTCCCTCTCTCTCTCTCTCTCTCTCTCTCTCTCTCTCTCTCTCTCTCTCTCTCTCTCTCTCTCTCTCTCTCTCTCTCTCTCTCTCTCTCTCTCTCTCTCTCTCTCTCTCTCTCCTCTCCTCCTCTCTCCTCTCCTCTCCTCTCTCCTCTCCCTCTCCCTCTCCTCTCCCTCTCCTCCCTCTCCCTCTCTCTCTCCCGTCTCTTCCATCTTGCCATCCGCAAATGAGCACCCAAACTCTCTTCATTCACTCCCAGCATCCTTGGCCACGCGCGCTGAGTAGCAACTAAAAAAAGCAACACATACATCAAGGAGGAAGGAGAGAGAAGCGAGGGTGTGCACCAAGAATAATGATTGCGCCGACCACCACCAGATGGCCGCTGGAGATAGCGAGAGGAGTTGTCTCTTCGATGATCTGTGAAGACTGCAACACTCTGGGGGTTCTCGCCCTTCTCCCTCGGTGCTCACCCTGTCTCCCTTGGAATCCTCGCCGCTGTGAGGAACCCCTCTCCCTCCTTCTGTGGCCATCACGTCCTCCTCTCTCTCTCTCTCCCGTGCTATGTTTACACTAATCTCCCTCATAATCCCTCGTAACGTATGTCTCCGTGGGAAACCCTTCGTGTTTGGCGGGGATTTCACCCTTATTTTCTTGCCCTCCCCTCCCCTTCCCCCTCCCCCTGTCTCCCCTGGGATCCTTGATGGTACGAGGGATCTCCACCGGCTCCCCCTGCTTACCCAGCGCCCCTCGGACACGGCGCGCGGCAGGGGTCCTCACCTTAAGGTCCAGCAGCGTCTCGTATGTTCATCTGAGAGTCCTTATCTCTTAGTCCATATCTCCCTCGGTGCCATATCGCATCCCGTCCTCCCTTTGCCCCGAATCCCCCTCGGCGCTCCCCGATGCCTCTTTCTCTCGTTTTGATAATAAGATCGGATCGTATAGAGGCTGAAGAAGATCCGACGGGACTAAAATAGAAGTGGAAAGAGGACCCGTAACAGATTTCAAAGGCATGGACCCGAGCTTAAGGATAATTTAGTTCCCCTTTGCGTTGGCGTTTACAGTCCCCGTTTGCAGGAGGGAACGCTCAAGTTCTCCGTTTGTGAGGAGTTTGTGTTGCAGATGTTGCATTAAAATAGAATCTAGACACACTTTCGTTTCACAGAGAGAGAAGAGAGAGAGAGAGAGAGAGAGAGAGAGAGAGAGAGAGAGAGAGAGAGAGAGAGAGAGAGAGAGAGAGAGAGAGAGAGAGAGAGAGAGAGAGAAGAGAGAAGAGAGAGAAAGAGAAAGAAAAAAGAAAGAAAGATGTTCCGGACAGCTGTTATAGACCTCTTCCTTCCCTCTCAAACTGACCACTCGGGGATTTCGGAACTGCTACACATATCAACCTCGACCTCCAGAGCGGGCTTTCCGGCCTTGAACTGGCCCTCGTCCAACGAAGCCAGCGAGACCTGCTCCAAGAGGCGGAAGCAAGAGTCTCGGGAGTCCGGGACTTACACAAGTGACACCGAAGCCCCCCCCCCCCCGCCTCCGTCCAACCTCCTTTGACCTAAAAGACAGCGACGCCCTTCTCCCGCCTCCCCCCCCATCGCTCTACCCCTTCCCTCCCTCCGCCCCCATCCCCTCATCCCTTCCCTCCCCTCCATCCCTTCACCCCCCCCCGGCACTCAGCGCCAGTGATAACGCGAGTTGAAAGTCGGTCCGTTGGAAGGGCGTCAGATAGGCCGTTGTGCTCCTTCTCTCGGTCTTTCTCTTCCTTCTTTTGGTCTTTCCTTTCCTTCTCTTCCTTCTTTTGCTCTTTCTCTTCCTTTCTCTTGTTTCTTTCTCTTCCTTTTCTTCCTTCTCTTGGTCTTTCTCTTTCTTTTTTTGGTCTTTTCCTTCTTTCTCTTGGTCTTCTCTTCCTTTCTCTTGGTCTTTCTCTTCCTTCCTTTTTTTGGCCTTTTTCTTCTTCTCTTTCTTCTTTTTTTTGTCCTTCTTCTCTTCTTTTTCTTCGATTGGTCTTTTCTTTCATTTTGTCTTGTCCCTTCTCTTTTTTCTTGGTCTTTCTCTTTCTTCCTTCCCTCGTCTCTTTTCTTATGTAACGCTTTACTCCTCCTTCTTCATCTTCTCCTCCCTCTTTTCTTCTTTTTCTTTTCCTCTACCTCTTCTTTTCCTTGCTTCCTCTTTCTCTCCTTCATTTTCGTCGTTCAAACAATCTCTTCCACCTTTTCCACCACCACCACATCTCCTCCACCACCACCACCACCACCACCACCACCACCACCACCCACCAGTCACCATCACCATCACCACCACCAAAACCTCCTCCTCCTCCTCCTCCTCCACCACATCCTTCTACTCCTCCTTCTCCTCACCACCACCACACCTCTCCTCCTCCTCCTCCTCCTCCTTTCTCCACCACCACATCCTCCTCCTCCACCTCGAGGATCGCCATTCATCGGCT